CATTAGATATAAAAGGTTGTTACCCTTTCTTATCAGTAATTTTTTGCCTCGTGAGTTTTTTTTTTCTTTTACTTGTGTGTTGCCACCCCGTCGAACTCAACTTGCATACGGTCCCAATCCCAATCCGAGTTGGGAACGGCGAGGCTGGTAATCATCTAACCAAAGGGTTGGAGCGTCACACTTGGAGCAGCGAGGAGCGAACAGCTGACACCGCGGCAAAGACGTCACAGCTGGTGCTGTCCGTGAGAAGGATCGACAAGGATCAGTGTTGCTTTTTTCTTCACCTGTTTTAACAGTTTCCAGAGATTTAAATTTTTGTACTTGTTTGATTTTAGTAGCTGCGCTAGAGATTGAAACATCATGGTCGTTCAGGTTTTCTTACATGATTTTATCAAAAATAGGATGAACAATGTGGGCCAAAGTAGGCATCCATGTTTCATGCCGACAGTTGTCAGGAAGAATCCTCGCATTTTCCCCATTTGTACAGGATGAAATGTATTGTATAAAGAAAAGAACACGTATCGTATATATATATATATATATATATATATATATATATAAATGACTGTGACCAAATCTACTGAAATCTACTTGTTTTGGTTTATCTCCATCAATGGGTTATTCAATGCCGACAGCATTTTTGTTTTACAACATATTATCCTCAATGGGTTATTCAATGACTACATCATTTTTAGGATAGATTTGTATGAATAGAATATGTATTCTTTGGTTTAGATTGGTATGATTTATTTTGTTTTACAGGATATTAACCTCAATGAGTTATTTAATGCTGACAACTTTTTTACGATAGTATGAATAAAATATGTATTCTTTGGTTTAGATTGGTTTAGTTTATTTTGTTTTACGGCATATCAACATCAATGAGTTATTTAATGCTGACAACATTTTTATTGCTGGTAATAGTTTGTTTTGGCATAAGTCTGTTTCTGGTAATATTTTTCTTTCAAAATTGTGTTTCTGGTAATAATTTTTGAGAGAAGTATTGCTAGTAATAGTTAACTATTTGCCCATAGCTGGGACCCTAACAGGAGCTACCACCCCGTGTAAGGGTGGACCTGGGAACACCAGCAATTCAGAGGTGGTTCCATGCTCCTCAAAACCTCTTGATGAGAGGCCTTGCTGCTGGATATAGTTTATCGTCTTAACCAGGACGCGGATGTAGTTCAACGTCTTACCCAGGATGATGAAATTCACATGGATATTTATCGCTGACAGAGAAAATCATCATAATACCTTCTCACTATTCTCAACTTCATATCGCATATGATTCTCAAATCCAGAGGAAGATTCTGGAAATCATTTTTTTTTTACTGAACTTAAAGTTTACTTTGTAATCTGATGACACTTCCATGTCTATGACATGAAAGTTGATCAAATTATCTTGTTTTGTTTTGGTCTTCTGCCTCTCATAGGTAGCTCGTTTGGCTTTCATAATCACAGTATTTTGTGATTGTCTTTCTGGTGCAGTCTTTGGGTACGACTGAAACAAAACATCTATTCTGCTGACTTTGGTTCAGAAGTGATTTTTTTTCTTTATTATTTATCTCTCAGATAAATAATTTCTTCATATATTTAATGATAATTATGTACTTTTATTAGTTCTATTCTGTTTTTATTTATTTATCTATTTCTATTATTGTCATTAAAGTAGTAATAAGTCAGGGTGTTACATTTTACTTATTATTACATTACTCCAACATCCACTGAAAATATATATATGGTCGTTCTTTGTAATGGTAGAGGACTCACTAGTCCCAGCGACCCCAAGAGCGAAGCCGTCTAGAGTTCCATCTGGTGTAAGGTCACCCATGGCGCTAAGGTCGATGAGGAACGACTAGATTGAATGCGACCAACACTCGACGAATACGATGGCGGAATAGGTAAAGATCTACATTATCACGGATGCTAAACTAGCGGAAGAGCGCCTGTCGGGGTGGCGTGACCAAGTATCAGACAGCCTGGTGCAACCAATTTTGCCAGATATCGCCTGTTTCAATTCTTTTTGAGCCGTGAGGGAAACGTTTGTGGCCAAGAGTTGGAGCTTCTACGTCACGCAAAATTTTTCACCAAAATGAATTTGACGTTAATGGCCTCGTCAAATTCTCCTTCATTCCCAGCCATCCGCAACAATGCCACCAGGGAGCATGAATGGAATAGCGAGAGACGATGTCGATTCCAATGCCAGGATGTACTTATTTTGAATTCTTACTGGTGTGGCCATGTCACTACATTGTGAATCTCTGGTGTTTAACGATTACGTTAGTCGCTTAGAAATGGGCCACATCAGCTGCCTCCAGTCCAATCCCCTAAACGCACCATCTACATTTCCCAGAAAAAAAAAAAAAAAAAAAACATCATCAGGCGGAAGGTTTTGCTTGGAATAAAAAATGGCTCGATGCCTTGTATGTGTATCTGTCAAATTTTATTCTCTCCGACAGAGAAATATTGCCGACCACTCATCAGCGATGGGGAAGGCACAGAGTGTGAAAGAACTTAATTAGTATAGCTGATTTTAGGCCATCCATTTGCTATCCAGACCGACCTTCACTAAAGAGTCTAGGAGGGAGGGGCTTTTTTTTAAAAATGTCGTCAAGTTTCTTATTCAATTCTGATTAGTCAATTGAAAGACCAATGAAAAGACGTCGCCACTTCCCCTTCTTTATTCCTGTGGGAATTTTGATCGTATATTAGAAATACGATATTCAACAGCCTGTGAGTTTGTTTATCTGTTAGGTGGTGTTTTTTCTTCCTCCTTATCTTTACCATTAAATTAATCTCCTTTATTTTACAGGCAAAATGTTACACTGAATTAATTGACATTTTCTCCTCACAGCTGGTATACACTGGGTTTTGATTCACTAGTTTTGTACAGTTTTTTTTTAGAATATCCAAGAACGGAATGTTCTTGAACCATTTAAATTAACCGCGTATCCAATAGAATCAGATCCACCTCAGTTCGACACACATATCGCAACAATTTTCAAATTATCTTATCCCTCGACCCAACCGAAAATTATGCTTCTTCGTTGAAATACTCTTTTTCAACTGCTACCACTTCCGAACCAGATAATTTATTTCTCTTCAAACTCATTTCCAATTTTATCAATATAACATATTCCGATGTAAGCAGTTCTTCTGAATAGCTTTTTTAGTTTGTCCACTGAAACACCAAATTTTCATATTCTCGAAAAAGCCGAGAGCTGGTTAACTACCTTTCACAAAGAGAAACTTTTCCAGTAAATACCTTTGTCATTTTTAGTTCAAAGATTACTTCAATCGACACAAGTTAGTCAAAATGACGTCCCTATCACTACAGAATCGTTCTTCTTGGCTTTCCTAGTCAATTTGGGATATCGAATCTGATCCCTTGTGTTGCCACATAAACGTCGCCAATGCATCGATTGTTATTTAATCTCAGGAGGACAGAAGTATAACTGTGTTCCATCAAAACTGACACGACGTTTCCAAAGTGTATCGCTAGAATGATGAAGATACTGCTAATCCAAAGCGGGCATTTACATTCTGGTCGGCATTCAAATGTTTTGGCACACACTTATCTGAGGAACACTAAACTGCTAATAAAGCGGACACATGGCATGTGAATCTAATGTTTCAGCAATATTTTTTTAACGGAATTCGGTCTAAAACACAAGAGAGTTTAGATTAATCATTTCAATCCAAGCAAACCAATAAAAAACATTATTAAAAACAGAGAACAATAAAAGATCAGAAGTTAAGAAGACAGAATATAATGATTGACATTTCATTTAAATTTTTGAAGATCAAATTGGACTAAAACGCAACAAGCCGAAAGAGAATTGCCACGGGCGAGAAGAGCGAGAGAAGAAACTTTCAGCATAGAACTTACGGTAATATGTAGTAATTTCTATTATAAAATGCTGGGACCTTGTCGACATTTTAATAGAACGCTTAAATTCATAAAGTCTATGTAAAAATAGAGGAAAGCTCATCAGAGAGATTACCATGAATATATGTATAGAAAAATTAGAGGTAATTACGTTACGGCGGTTGGAAAGTGACTAAAATATAGATGACAGGTGAGAACTAATGACATCCAGATTTTTATTTACCCGGTTAGCACGCGGCCATAACACCTCTCTGTCACAGGAAAACGTTTTTAAACCACTCACAGCGTTCACGATAGGCCATTTATTTTAGCAATTATATAGTGCATGTGTCTGTAATAAGATATTCAGTCGTCATCTTCTGTGTAAAATCCCGTTCTTTTATTGTCATTTCTACGAAATAACACGTTTATTTAACTCGCGGGAAACTTTGATTCTTAGTTGCTTTACGCTTTAGCCTGAGATAAAGTGTTTAAAAAACTAAAGACCTCGTCCTGATGGTTCGTCTTTGCTATTTTTTTAGAGTAACTGTATCCGACGCAAGTGCGATTTGATTGAAGAAGTAAGCCGCCATAACACTAGCAACTACTTCAGGAGCTGGCACAAATGAACGCCTCCCCACAAAAAAGAAAAAAGAAAAAAAAACTGTTCAGATAAAAGAGTCTCAAAATCTCCTCGATTAAAGTTGGCACACTATAATTTCAGATTTGAGTATGACAGTCAATTGTTTCCCAATATTGGTCGTATGCACGTAGGGACTTCATTTCGAGTTATATTCCTTAGACATTTTTATGACGACCTGGAAGTTAAACACTAATTTATGAAATGACGTGAAAAACACAGAAAAAGGGTCCAGAACAATGGGAACTGAAACTTCATAATCTAAAAGAGTAATACCTCCAGATGCGGTAGAAAATAGTACTTAGATTTTGGGAAGTCAGATCGATCAATATCATTTCAAAAATTCCTATTATTATTATTATTGTTATTGATTAATTGATTGATTTTTTTTTACGGATTAACAATCCTTTCAGGGTTATCAAATTCCGAAATATTTTCGATAGTAAATCTTTTTTTTTTACTTACGAAAAAGCATTGCATTAAACGCTTCAAGCCATATCATGTTAAAAATACCGATTCTCATCCGATCACCGAAGTTAAGCAACGTCGACTCTAGTTAGAACGGAGATGGGTGTCCACTTGGGAATAACAGCTGCTGTAATGTTGGATGATTGTGTGCTGTAATTGATCGCGGCTCGGGAAGAGAAACAGGAGAGCCGAGTTCAAATTCCAGTCGGGTTCGTTACATCGCAATTGAAATATGGATTTCATAAATCAATGAGCTATCATCGATTTGTGAGTCTGTTAGAGACAAACAGGACACATCATGAAAAGATAAACACGGGATTTAATAAATCTGGATTCGCACGCAGTGTTTCGGTGCAAATTTGCTCAGATTTTTTTTCCTAGTATATTTGTCCTATGTTTACTATTCCCCACCGAATTAATTGCATTCACGAAGAAAGAGATTATATTGTAAAATCAATATTTATTATGCCTTTTTTTATCATTTCCCGCGTACACAGGATGTGGACATCCTTATTGCCAAAAGTAATGTTCTATAGATATTAAATGTTGATCTCATTATAAGCACCAAGCGGTTAATTGAATTTGCTAGCTTAGCGGGCGTGCCGAAATCACATTCATGAGGTTCATAAAAGCATATATTGTAATGTAAATGGCATATCTTTTTGTACAAGAGATCCTATATCCCAAATAATTTATTGTAAATATTGTAATATTAATACCATTCTATATGAAGATAAATTAACTTCTCTCTTTCTTTTTATGTGCCGTGCTCTTTCAGGACGCAGGCGATCATGGCCCTTCACTTCCCCCTATCCCTTGTGGCTCTAAACAGGTTTTTGTTTCTGCCAAATACCCCAGACCCTCTCAGTCATCCACCTGCACAAGCCCGCCACGTATGTCACGCGCTGCTTTCCCGTGTCTTTTCTCCCTCTATTCGTCTCGTGAGTATCAGATTCTCCAGGCCTTTCTTTCTCATCACGTGTCCCAGAAATTTCATCTGCCTCTTTATTATTTTAAGAATAAGCTTCCTCATTGTCTGCATCCTCTCCAAGACCTCATCGTTTCTCTATGATATCCTCAGCATCCTTCTGTAGAACCACATCTCCGCCGCCTCGAGTCTCTTCTTCATCCTTGAGGATACCGTCTAATATTTGCTGTATAGAAGGACAGTTGTCACGTAGCAGCTCAGTAGTCTTTTCTTTGTCACTATAGATATGCTCCTGTTTCGCAGTACTCTGCCCAACGTCTGAAATGCATCCTTAGCCATCCCAATCCGTCTTCGGATCTCAGGGTCGCACCTACCGTGCTCCGTCAGAACACTTCCCAGATGCTTAAACTTCCGTACATATTTGATTTTAGTGTCCTCGACCTGTAAATCGCGTTTTAGGCTTATCCTTTTACTCATGACTCGCGTGATAAAGACATTTCTTTTAAATATGCAACAGGTTATTTTAAGTTCATTTAGCAAACCGTAATATCAGTTGTGTGTACCTACATGCTGTATGTATGTTTTAATGTTGACAGAAGGTCCCCACCATGCCAGACGACTTGAAAGACCTAATTTCGCTGGTTCATCTTGTACGAAATTACTCAAAGGTAGTAAGAGAATATGAAAACCTCGAAAGACGTGCTCATAAGATATATTGATGCTAATATTCGTGAGACTGTTGGTATATAATCGTTAATACAAAAAGGCGTTCAAGAATATCTAAACTTTATGCTTTCCAGATAAATGGAGAGATCATTGAAATGAAACCTGTCAGAATTTGTAGATTGACGCTACAGATCACAAACAAATAACACTGCCAGAAGAAACCGCATCACCTGTGGATTTTCAACAGCAGCAAAAACTGTTATCACATATAAATTGAAGAGAGAATAATGACATAATCGTGATGTTGACATTCCACACTTCATCAAACAAAAGGTTAGGAAGGAAACCCTCATCAATACTGTAAATAGGTTTATGAGCTACTGGAATTTAGAAATATATTTTCCTGAAAAAATATTTTGATAGAACGATTTTATAAAATTCAACCGACAGTAGTACTGGTTTTTCAGTCAATAGAATGTTTCCTAATAAGGAAACATCTAACATTGCAATTATTATTGCCATGTTTGATGACTATGATCATCAGAGTTTAATTTGGGCAGGCCTAAAAATCCTCAAATACGCTCATATGGAATGTTCAAGATAAATATTTTAACAACCGAATCTTTGCAACATGAATAAAATACTGTGCTACCAATATTTGAAAATCAATTAAATGATGACATCGAATGGCAGAAATGATATATTGTTCTAATTTTCAAATCAAATTAAAAAAATCACAATTCATACTGCTAACAATAGTAATAACCCATACCTTTAAACTAATAAATATTGTTTCAAATATCAATATTTACAGACATGATGAATTATACAAAGAAATAAATAAACTTAGAATAAGATCTATTCAAATGATATAAAATCTAAAATAATCAAACAGAAGTTAGGGACTATAAATAATTTCACCCAAATTGTCTTTATATGGAGCCTACACAAAGAGGAGTAACCCTTGTTTTGATGACCACTTATTGCTTGAAACTGCTAGTCCAAATGGTGTGTTTACTTCCAAATCCACAGTGGGTATATCTTGAATCGATGATTGATGATGATATTTTTGCTATGAATATAGCAAATTTTATATCTGTCTATATTTCTGAGATGAGGTATTATGTACATTATTTACATTATTCAGACTATTGTCCTCACCTTTGTCGCCATATTTATTACAACGTTTCGGCCATTATACACTCCAGCCATCTTCAGGTGGTTGGAATGTCGAACTGAACCCTTTATTTCACTCACTGGGGTAGACTGTTCTAGTTCCATGTGCCACACATAGTACAGTGGATAACGGCGTTAGTTAGATCCAGTGACAAGATCCAAAGTTCAATACCCGGTTAAGGCAGTGGAGAACTTTCAGAGGGAAATTAACAGGAGATAACTGATAACTGACATTCATTAAACATGCCACGTGAAACCCACTACACCACCACTGTTGGAATTTTTGGGTACCCTGGTATACTAGTTAACCCTTCTACTGGTAACTATAAAATGAACTGACTCATTTTATAGTTACCAGTAGAAGGGTTAACCAATCAGAAGGCTCAAAATATTCAATGCGACGTGTATAAAGGCGGCCATGTTTTTCCCGAATATTCACTGCCAGCCTTTGATATCGAAGACTGAAGAATTACGGAACAACTGCTGGTGGTATTGGCGATATAGTCAGATTCAATAGAGTGTCTGACTCGTGAGTATTAATCTTTATTGTTGTTTCATTGAACAGATTACGTACTGTGCTGTATTCTATCTTCATAGACTATGGTTAACATGGTTAACAACCACCACAGATAGGAGTAAGTAGCAGGACAAGCTGCGCATTGATTGGCAACCAGTCTAAAAAAAATGAAAACCCTAATATTCAAACCAGTCTTTTCAGGTAATTAGGCTCCTAATCCCCACCCCCACCCCCGAATGTTGCAGTCGGTGAATTCTGATCTCTTTTTTGTGAACATTATTAGGTTTTAATGTTCTCTTAATTCCTTTTGTGACAGAGAAAAATAAGTCGTAAATGTTTATTTTGCGCGCCCAGTATTAAGACATGAGATACAAGCAAATCTCACAGACCAATGCTCTGGTACGTAATCCTAGCGTCACCGAGTCACCAACTCTTTAGGGTTGTGTCTGATAAAAGCGATTCTTATTCTATGCGCCATCTTCCTCCAGTGGGTTATCATGGCTCTCCTAAACTTCCTACCATTTTTGGCTCTCGGTAAGGTTGTTTTTTTTTTTTTTTGTTTTTGTTTTTTGCCATTTTTCTTTAATACGTTTTCTATATTGGACTTAGACAAACTCATTAGTTAAGTTATTTGATGTTTTCCTCTGTTTTTCTTATCTTCAGTATGACCTGTGTAACAATACTGATTTCTCACACATCCTGAGAAGATAAGTAGATGAATTCTTTTTCCTCCTAGGTCCACTTATTTATCTACATTTCTTAGGAAATCAGTATCCAGTGCATCTTTGTGTTAACTTAAGTGACAGAGTTTTCAAGATTTCTATCTCAAGCCGCCTTTGAATTGACAGACAAAATTTTGTAAATGATTTTAGATATTCATAAATGTAGGCCTTTGAAGAAGTTGGACACTCAAAAAACCGAATGAGTGGTCTATTTTTACGGAACACAAAGGGATAGATAGAGGTGGACGGACCCCAGTCAGTATCCTTATAAGCAGAGAGGAGCTGGTAGTCAGTAAGTAGGTAGATGAGCAGCAAGTGAGTAGCGGCCAGGGACGAAGGGACCAGCGAGCAGTCAGTGAGATAGAGTCAACGATCGAACCGATAGAGAAAGACTGGTTGTTTAGGGAAATTTCATATTGTTGATATTTCCCATCATGTGTCTTGAAAAGCATTTGTCGTTATTTTATTTTATTTATATTTTTTTTTATTTTATTTTGTATTATTATATTTTTTTTTTTTTTTGGTTGAATACAATCACGGCTAAGAGGACAAATCTGTGAACGTAGCGAGTCGGGTTGGATGCCATCACTTGTTCAATGAACGACGGACGAGCGGAGCACGTGTCCACACCTGTCTGTGTTATATTCTCAGAGCCGTCTTTCCTTGTTATGCGCCCTAGAGATTTCATGATTTTAAGTGCAGGTATCATGTTTGTTCCCAAATTCTTTGAAACGTGAATCGTCCTCACTATTCAAATGTTCAGTTCATGGGATTCTCGATATTCTACTGCAGAAACACATTCCCGTTACCGCAAATGACTTCTCTATCTCTGAGAACAAGGTCCATTAATCAAGCGGACCGATATTACATAACAGTTGTGCAATGTGTGCCCTACACGTTCGGGCTTAGAAAGCCGCCATAACTTTGTAACTTTTTGCTTGTGTAACTGTGTTTTATAACTGTGTAACTTTTTGCTGTGTAACATTTTGCGTATTTCTAATAACTGACATTTTTGTAGCTTACATCTTGGGCTGTTTCTTTTTTCATTTAGATCCTAATATTTTGACCTCTCTTCTAACTTCTCTTTTTTACCTTCTATAGGAGTTCTTGCAGTTCTATCTCCC